GTGTGTGTGTGTGTGTGTGTGTGTGTGTGTGTGTGAGAGAGAGAGAGAGAGAGAGAGAGAGAGAGAGAGAGAGAGAGAGAGAGAGAGAGCATGAGTACATGTATGCATGGGTACACACAGAAGCTAGAAGGAGACATCAGATCAGATCCCTTGGAGCTGGAGGCATCTGTGAGCTTCTCCCCTCAATGTGAATGCTGGGATCTGAGCTCCAGTCCTCTGATTAAGCACTCTTAACTGCTGAACATCTCACTAGCCCTAGGCTTTATACTATAGATTCTTAAGAAACATAGCTTGGTATCCTCTGCTTTACTGATGGGAAGTTAAAAACAATAGAAAATGTGAATGAAATAGAATGTCAGTAAATTTCAAAGCTTACTGATGTAAAAAGTCACAGCTCTGTTTTAAATGGAATGCCTCTCCATTATTTTTCATACTTCCTACTAGGTTACCACCAAAGAACATCAGTTTGGTCTCGGGGCTCCAGTTTCTGAAGCTGGAAAAAACCAGAATACTCTCCAACTAGAACAAGAAGTGAGAACCCAAGATAGATTCATCTCTACACTGAAATTACAGGTTAGTCCTAGTTTATGTATTAATAAATACTTCTATTAATTAATTTTGGATGTGGATGTATTTTAAAATAAGAAAATTGAGGGCAAATAATTACTAATTCAGAGCTTGCTTAAATCTAAAGATTCTAAAATTCAGTTTTTATTACCACTTTGATATAATAGATTCAGAGTTAGTGAGAAAACTATGTGGTATTGTTTTTTTGTTGTTTGTTTATTTTTTATTTTTTTGTTTTTCGAGACAGGGTTTCTCTGTGTAGCTTTGTGCCTTTCCTGGAACTCACTCTGTAGTCCAGGCTGGCCTCGAACTCAGAGAGATCCGCCTGCCTCTGCCTCCCGAATGCTGGGATTAAAGGCGTGTGCCACCACCGCCAGGCTTGTTTGTTTATTTTAAGACAGGCTCTTGCTATGGAGACCAGATTGGCTTCCAACTCAGCAATACTTTTGTGTCAGCCCTGCAAATTCTGGGGTTACAGGTATGAGGCCATGCCAGGCAGATCAGCTATTTTTTAATGCAAAATCTTACTTAGCTATTTCCAACCATGTGAAATAGCATTTCCATTGCTGTTAAAATAACAAGTGGTTAAATAATTATGACACTTAGCTAGCACATGACAATTAGGATTTCTCTGAACTTCAAGTTAGCAGGGATTTGAATATAGTACTCTGCACTGCAGGTTTGAGATCATCTGTTCTCATGGTACCTGGCACATGGTTCAATAAAGGCTCTTAAAACAGACCTTCTAGGGGCTGGAGATGTAGTCCAGTTGGTAGAGTACTTGCCTAACATGCACAAAGCTCTGGATTTGATCCCCAGCATGACATAAACTGGGCACAGAGAACATATCTGTTATCTTAGCACTCAGGAGGTAGAGGCAGGAGGATCAGACATTCAAGGTAATCCTCAGGCTTCACAGTGAGTTTGAGGCCAGCCAGGGCTACATGAGAATCTGTCTGGGGTTAGGAAAGCAGGGACTTTAGGGGAAGATAAAGTAGACTTAACATTTCGTTTCCTTTTTCCTTCTATTAGATACAGTTTCAAACTGTGAACATTAGATATAAAACAGTATAACATTTTTTTCTTTTATTAAACATAGATTCTTTTCTCATACAATATAATCTACATATAGTTTCCCCTCCCTCTACTCATCCCAGTACCTCCCCACCTCCTCTCCCATCCAGATCTACCCCCTTTCTGTCTCATTAGAAAAGAACAAACTTCTAAGAGGTAACAACAAAACATAACAAAATAAAATATAATAAGATAAAACAAAAACCATCTTTATCTTGTTGGATAAGACAAACTAACAGAAAAATAAAAGAGCTCCAAGAGCAGGTACAAGAATCAGAGACCTATTCATTCACACATACAGGAATCCCCTAGAAGTGCTAACCTGAAAGCTACAGTATATGTGCAGGGGACCTGGTGAAGACCCATGCAGGCAGGCCCTGTGACTGCTGCTTCAGTCTCTGTGAGCTCATAGGAGCTTTACTCAGTTTTTTTTTGTTTTGTTTTTTGTTTTTTGTTTTTTTTAAGAGGGCCTTTTTCTCCTGGTGTCCTCCATCCCCGTTGTCTTCCCTACTTATTCTGCCTCCTCCTCTTCTTTGGGGTTCCTGAGTTCTGAGGGGAGGGATTTGATGGAGACATCTTGTTTAGAGCTGTGTGTTTCAAGGTCTCTCTCTGTGTGTGTAATGTCTGGCTATGGGTCTATGTATTTGTTCCCATCTGCTACAGGAACCATAGGAAGCCTCTCTGATGATAGTTGAATAAGATACCAATCTGAGTATAGCAGAATATCATTTGAAGTCATTTTATTGTGACTTTCCACTGTACTAGGTTTCCATACCACCCCTCAAATGCCCTTCAGTTCTAGCTATCTCTCCCCTCATTCACTCCCTCAATCTCGTCTCTCCTCTTCCTCCTCACCAGATCCTCCTGTTCTCATGCTCTTCTCCCATATCCCCCTTTCCTGCTTCCATTCCACCCATAAAATCTGTTCTATTTCTCCTTCCCAGGGAGATCCATGTGTCCCCCCAGTCCCTTCCTTTATGCCTATCCTTTCTGGTTCTGTGGATTATAGCTTAATTATTATTTGTTTAATGGCTAATATTTAGATATAAGCAAATATGTAAAGTATAGAGACAAGAATAAAGACTGGTAAAAGAACCTCAACATACAAAGAACATCATGTTGTAGTTCTTATATTTTCTCTTCCTCAGTATAGTCCAGAAAGACTTGTAGGCTAGCAACTTGAAGTGACAGTAGGAACATGCAAAAAAGGATCCCAGAAAAGCACAAGGCAGACGACTTTAAGATAGTGACTGCCTGCTCCAAAACAAGCAGATTAAAAGAAAACTACAGACCTTCCCTGCGAGCATAAACCAGAAATAGTCTAGACTATAATCCTTGCCAGGCTGTGACAGGGAGCCTCAGTTCTGCCTCTTCTTGACCTCATTTCCTACCTCTGCCCCTAACAAGAGTAGTATCGAAGAAAACTGAGTAGGGAACCAAGACTTTACTCCCCATCAGGTAGTAGGGAGGTACATAGTCTTCTGATGTCAATAGAGACCACAATGGGCACACAGACATCTGCTCTTACCCTACAGTAAGAAGCACCCTTAATGCTAGTGGAGTATCAGAGGAGACAGAGCAGAGTCAGGACTTTACTTCTGCTAACAAGGCCTCTCTTCTGATTTGAGTCTGAATTGTTCCCCACGGGCTCTTTTTTTAGTGGTCAGTCTTCAGCTTGTGGTGCTGTTTTAGGAGGTGGAGACTTTAGGAGGTGGGGCTTGGCTAGTGGAAGTAGCTCACTGGGGACTGGCCTTTGAAGGATCTGCCGGCCCATGGTTCCAGTCTGCACGCTGCTTCCTGGTCCACCAATATGTGAACCAGCCCATTCTGCTTGTGTCAGAACAATTGAGTAAGACTGAATTAAAAGGTAATGAACTAATCTATTTGGTGGAGGAGATTCCAAAGGTTCTTGTTTTTGTGGTGGTGGGAATCAAACCAGGGCCTTGCACAGGTAGGCAAGCACTCTGTTCCTTAAGCCATAGTTCCAGATCTTAGAAGAGGAAATTTCAAGACTGCATAATAACCAGGCTATGGTATTACTATGCTCAGATAGCTTTTTTGTTTTTTCTCTTCAGTTTTAGTTTTTTGAGACAGGGTTTCTTTCTTCTCTATGTAACTGCCCTGGCTGTCCTGGAATTCCCTCTGTAGACCAGCTAGCCTCAACTCACAGAGATCTGCCTGCCTCTACCTCACGAGTTTTGGGGTTAAAGGCGTGCACTACCACCACCAGGCTGCACTCAGGCTGCTTTGTAGAGATGCCCAGGAAGTAGAACAGAAAGATGTAGAAAACATGCCGTTTGGGGGCATGCAATGTGATTAAAGCTGCAGCAAGAGCAAGGGTGGACCATGTGGCTGTGATTGTGAAAGAGAGTAGCATGATTGAGGAGAACCCTTCCACATTGCCCTGGGACAATGGGAAAGGTGCCTTGAGGGCGAGACCCAACTCATGAAAGGCTGCGGGACGTCAGACTGAGAGAATTTTCTTGAACAGAGTCTCAGGGTGCCCTTTTAAACGAGGCAACCTGGGGAGGGTTTTCAGTGCACAAGCACTCAAAGGCTACTCAAGCTGTGGTCCATTGGGTGCCAGTTCTTGAGCTTTCGACAGAACATGACATCATCTACATAATACTAATTTTGCAGGCATGCAGAATGAAGGAGTTCTAGTTAACTTGGAGGCTTGCACCAATATTTTTAACAAAAGCCTAGGAAGCCAGGCAGTGTAGAGCAGGATCAGATTCCCCACAGGGAGTCCTTCAGTGGACTTTGCACAAAGCTTTAAGGATAAAACCAAGCTGTGGTAGAGAACTCAGGATGTTGGAGATGTGAAGACATGTGATACCTGCTGAGGAAAGCTGCAGCACCAAGTAGATTTTGCCCAAAGAGAGTCCTTGTGCACTACAGGCAGCAGGGCATAGGAGCAGAGCTACCTAAGCCCATTGGAGCTTGCAGCGTGTTACACATATACCAGATTCCAGGCATGGAGGACCCTAACCTTCCTCTTCTAAAGTACTTATATCATGAATTGAGTAAAAGCAGAGTTTCCTATTGGGCAAGCAGGGTATTCACGTATTTATTGGTGATCCATTCGTTTTACTTCCACTTAACAATAAATTGAACACTATGTACAGAATACACAATTCATGATGCATAAAGGAGTTCTTTATGTTGCTTAGAAATCAATGGAAAGGACAAGTAAATAAATTATTTTTGTGCATTTTATAAAATACTAAGATAGGGCTGAGAAGTTAACTCAGTCAATGAATTGCTTATACAAAAAACTGATTTTAAACCACAGGACCTGTGTTAAAAAAAAAGCCAGGTATGGTAAGGTTTGCTTGTAATTCCAGCTCTAAGGAGGTGGGCACAGGCATATCCTTGGGTTTCTCTGGCCATTGAGAGACCCTGTCTTTAAAAAGCTAAAGTGTCAGGGCCCTGGTGGTGCACACCTTTAATCCCATCACTCAGGAGGCATAGGCAGATGAATCTCTGAGTTTGAGGCCAGCCTGGTCTATGATTGAGTTCCAGGAAGGCCAGGGCTACACAGAGAAACCCTGTCCTGAAAAACCTAAAAAGAAAAAAGCCAAAGGGTATAGTGCCTAAGGAATGACACTTGAGGTTGTCTTCAGCCTGCACACACGTGAACACATGCACAGCACACATACTCACAGCCTGAAGGGGGATTGCTGAGGAGATAGCTTGGTAGGCAGAGGGTTTGCTGTTCAAGTGTGAGAAATGAAATTCAGATTCCCAGCACTCATGTAAATCCTGGGTAGGCTGGCTGCTTTCCAGCAGCTGTGGTACTCAGGAGGGACAGACAGGATCTCAGGAGTCAGCTAACTAGCTAGATGAGGCAGATCTGGGAGCACTGAGTTAAATTGAAGGACCCAGCCTCAATATATAAGGTGGGGAGCGATCAAAGAAAACACTCTTTATTA